CTATAGGAAATCTGCAGGGAGGTGGTCTCATTTTGAAATTTTGTGGAGAGGAAATGCACATTCTGTGAGATCATGCACTGTAATATCTGTTGGGAGGAACTAGAGATGCCATGTGCAGTGCTCAGCTCACCCAAACCCCGTCTGACAGGAAAAGGAATTCCTGTGTAATAAAAATTAAGATAATTGCCTATGAAGAAATGATTCATTGTTGAGGGTATTTTCATACACATTAGTGGAGTGGAGGTCAAATTCAGAGAACATAAGATCAAGTCCTGGAAGAGATGACTTTGTTTTTGTCTGAATTACCATTTTGTGTTTTTTTCACAGGTGCTGTTGGGTTCTGTTGGGTTCACTTATTTTTCTGCAGAAAGCTTTAAAGTCCTAAAACTGTAGAAATTCTGAGCAAAGAGAATATCACTGTTCCCTACATCTATTCCACATCTACTGAGGAAGATATTCCACATATATTGAAGAAAAAAGCTTTTTTTATTCCAGCACCTCAAAGTGCAGAGCTGAGCAGTCCACCTGGCTCCATCTGAACCCCCAGACCAGACCTGCTCATCTCTGAATGTGAAGATACAAGGAATATGGAGTTTAAAGGAGTCAGAGCTGTGGAGAAGTATCTGGTCCTCCCCCATCATCTGTTCTGATCCTGCATAAACAAACTTCATGTCAAGGGCCAGTGGAAGTAAAGTGTGAATTTCATGTTAAAGAAAGAGAAAATTAAGAAGGAGAAAAATGTGGGAGGAATAAGAACTGTTATAGATTTTTGGGCTTTTGTGGCTGGAGTAAGGGCAGCTGGGTGGAGGATGAGGAGAGAGCTGTGGAGGAAATGCTGTTTTACCCTTAGTCTTTCACTTCCCTATAAATACATGTAAATTCAGGACTACTGGGGTTATTTGTAGAGAAGCTCGCTAGGAGAAGTAGTGGGGGATGGACTTAGCGGGGAAAAATTATGAGAAGATGCCTTCAAAATATTCAGAATGAGGAGAGAGGTTCTTGCTGATGTTGACCATGGGCTTGGAAGACCTTGATTTTGTTCTGGGGTCAACCATAAGATTCTGTGCAGGGGTTTCAGCTCATACATTTGTTTTGCAGTCATAACAGGGTTAGGAAAAGATTCTTCACTGAGGGTGGCTGGGCACTGAACAGCTCCCCAGGGCAGCCCCAGCCTGACAGAGCTCAAGAAGCTTTTGGACAATGCTCTCAGGCACCTTCTGGGGTTCTTGGGGCTGTCCTGTGCAGGGCTAGGAGCTGGAATTCATTGGTCCTTATGGGTTTCTTCAAGCTCAGCATATTCTATGATGACTGTGGAGATTCATTTGGGAGTGCCTGTACACCTCCATGGACCTGGAAATGCTGGGTGGATCATTTCTTCACAGTGGTTCAGAGAAGCCAGAGTCTGTACAAGGTAAGAGACCCTTTGACTGGATCCCTTGTGCACTGGGGGTTCTAGCAGTCCCAGCAGTTTGAGGTACCATGTCTTCATCTGGGAAATAATTCCTGTCTTTCCACCAAAAGGATCTAAGAAAGAGATAAAAAGGATGCCTTTTTTTAATGCCTTATCTTCTCATCTACTTTGGTTCTGCTGAACATCAGCACAGGCGTATTAAGAGCAAAGATTTGAAAGCAACTCTTCCTGTCTGCAAGCAAAAGGCTGGAACAACACCTGATGGATGGGATCCTGACAGGATTAGCAAAAGCCCAGAACTGAGCTTCCAGAAAACATACTGCTGACAAGCAGGATTCACAAACTTTCAGATTTTGATCTTTGCTTGTTTTTGTGCAATAGTCCAAGGGGTCTTTGAAAGAACATGTTTCACCACTCTGTCCTTCCAGAGAGACCACATGTCAGTTTGATACTGAGAGACCTTGGCAGCAGTGGCTGCCTTTCTGCTCATCTCCTTCAGCTGCACTTTCCACAGAACTCTTCTTTTTTTTTTCTTTCCCCTCTGTCTCCTGCTTAGTAATATCTCCTTCTGTTTGTCCTTGATTTTAACAACTGAGAATGTGCCTATGTGTTCTCTACACTGGATTTTTGAATGAGTGCCTACTGGGCAGCTGGTGTTGTTGGCATTTTGGTCCAGACTGGTGAGAAGAAAGGAGAAGCACTTGGATTCAGAACTCCAAAAATTGAAACCACCTCATTTTTCATCCCCTTTGATTAACTCGCTGGTTTATTTGCCTGTAACAATGACAAATGACACCACCAGCTGATGCTATCGCATTTGGCAGAGTCATCCTGGTTTTGAACTCGTCAATTAAAATTCTACATTTTATGGTAATGCATCACAAGCTCTTGGGGGAAAAATGGCTCTGACAGATACAAGCTAAGTAGGAATCTAAAAGGTTCCCAACAGTATGAGCAAATAGTTCCTTCATGTCCTATTTATTCAGAACTAGTAATATTCACCAATGTTGCTCACTACCATGATTATAGGATGTCTGTTTTATTCTGATTGGGTTTTTTGTCTGCTTTACTGTGAATTTACACCATTGTAAGCTGGAACTGCTTTCACAAAAATTGACTGCTGGCTTTACAGTAGTCCAGGCTCCAGAAAGGCTAAAAATGCCTCATCCAAGCAGCTGAGGGCAGGTGGTTGCTTGTTGAAGTAGAGATCTCACCTTTCACTTGAAACCTGGTTCCTGCCTTCCTGGCTTTTCAGAGAGGCTCTCTGAGTGCAGACAGCTCAAACCAAGAGAGCAAACTAAAACTTCAAGTGTTGTATTCTTCCCCTCTTACTGTTGCCTGAGGGGTGCCTGGGAAGGTGTCTCATGGCTGTTTTCAGGGCAGATATTGCTGAATGTCAGGGCTTTACAAGGAAGTTACCCCATGCCTGTTGCATCCATTGATGCCAGCAACAGTTTTGGTCTCCAAGATTCTCTGCTTGTGGAATGGATCAAACCCTCTCCTGTCCTCTATTGCACCTGAAATATTTTACATCCAATGGAGAGGAACACACCTTCCAACTCCCCCAGACTACATGCTTCATTAGGGGATCATGAATCCCACCTACTGTCCTAAAATCCAGTTGAATTGCCATCATGAATTGAACAAGTGAATTCAAACTTTGACCCTGCAAGGTCTGTACCCAAATTCTCACGTCCCTGCAAGCCATAGAACACGTCCAGGAAAAGGAGATAGAAGGAAATCTTCAGAAGAAGCTCCAGGCATGGCTCACAGGGGATTAAATCATTCCCTTGAGTGTTTCCCTGCAAGACAGGAGCAAGAAGACAATTTGGACTTTTTTTGCTAACCCAGGCACAGAGGAATGGTGGTTGTGTTCAGACCCACATTTCTGGGAAACAGCTCTAGTAAAATCAGGGATGTGATGATCTGTGCTTGCTGCTGTGAGCTCTGAAGTACATGGAAGAGGAGGAGGAGTCAGGAACCACACACCTGGAGCTGTGGAGGAGGCACAGATAGACCTAAAAGGCCTTGAATTTGACATGAAATCTAATTTTTGCAGGCAAAGCTGACAGAACGAACGGCTGTGTTCTAAGTCTGATCTGTAAAATGCAAAGTACTCATATCCCCCCCACCACCTCCTGTGGTGCTGTTAGTAATTAATTCAACACATCTGCTAATGCTCCTTGTCTCTCTTCACTGCCCATGGCTCTTGTTTAAATGTTAATACCGCATGTGCTACCTTTTATCTGCAGATGAAGATGGATTGCTGTGTCAGACTGGATTTAAATTCATTTTTGCTGTTAAAAATTCGAAATTATATTGAAAGGTTGTATGAAGTCCAAGACCTCTCTGGGCTACTGTGGTTAATTAGCTGCTACAGATATTGTGCATTCAATCAAATTGTTCTCACTGCATTAAATTTGGTTATTAAACACTGGAAATAGTTAAGATATTAGCAATGCTTGATCGCTGGAAGGTCACACTCTTCGTTACTCATCCAGGCTGTGTGTCAGGCAATTTAAGTGCAAATGGATTTGTGGGTTGAAGAGCCCTCTGAGAAGGGATTTGGTAATGGTTGGCAGATTTGCACAGGCACAGAGGATGTAGTGGGAGGCTGGGGCTGATGAGATGAGATGGGTTCTTCATGCAGCAGATCAGGTGAGATCTGCTCCTGCTTGCAGGCTTCACCAAGGAAACAGTGTTTGTGAGGGACCTACTGAAAAGGTCCTGACAGGCTGTTTGTAGGAAGGGAGGGGATTGCTCCAAATCAGTTCAGATGTGAGTGAAAAAAGGCTTTCAATGATGACATGAAATTGGGAAGGGAGCTACCACACATAAATGGAAATAAATGTCTTTGTGCTGATACTCTGGAAAGCTTTGGTTTTGACAAAGCCTTGTGACCACAGACAAGAAAGACATAACTTGAAGGTGCTTCTGGTGGCACCAGCAGACAGAAGAAAGCTCCTGAGTGGTGGTGTGGGCTCTGCCCCGTTTGTCTGGTGTGGCTGAGACAACCTGTGGGGTACCTAACACAGACACCTTCACCTGAGAGATGGGGACACTGAGGCAGGAGGTTCATCAAGGTAGCAAACAACAGAAACCTGAGCTTTTCTAGAAACTAACCCAAAGTTTCTCCTTGCTCAGGGTGCACCTCAGTGCTTTGTTGGGATTATTAAGGACAGCCCTCAGTGCCTCTCTGCAGGGATGATGCTGCAGCATGGGGTCCATATTTCAAAGCAATGCAACTCCTCCTCCCTCCTCACCTGCCGCCTCCGTGTCCCTAATCCTAATGAGGGAATACTCAGTTCCCCAAAAAAAGTGCAGCAAGCCGTGCTGCACCCCTAATTCTTATTCCAGGAGCTCCCTAAAAATCACTATTGCTCTCTGCTCCTCTGCAGGGATGTGCGCGCTCGTCTTCATAGGTCCTTCTTTGGGAAAAATACAAAGAAGAGGTTATTCTTTCTCCCTCCACTGGACATGTGCTATCTCCCAGCCCCGCAGCCTGCAGCTGGTTCTCTTTGTCAGAGGATTTTGGCTGGGCTGCCGCGATAATTACACAGCTGGGCAGTGGGAAATCCCGCCCAGTAGCTGACGCCTGCCTAATCGCCGCTGGTTGTGTTCGGAGGCTCCAGGACCTGCTGTAATAACACAGCCACTTAATTAGTCTTTTCCTGAGTAAAGGCCTTGGAAAGCAAAGCAGTCGCAGCTTCCTAGATCCTCTTAACTATGTGAGTACACAACGGGTGAAAACAGCCCTGATAAAGGGCTACAGAAGGAGCTTATGCAGCTGGGTCTTTGCCCTGCCTCAGTTTCCCCTTCTTGGCTTTCTTGCTATCTGGTGTCAGGACAATCCAGGTAACACCCACTCCTAGGGCATGGTTTATTCCAAGGACATTACAGTTCAAAATGTCAGGATAAATCAATATAAACATTTCCTTCTGTCCCAGGGCTGTCTGGCATTTCACCCACCTCTCCATTTGTGAAGCTCTCACCACGAGCAGCTCCAGCTCACCACCCAAGATAACTGCTCCATGTAAGTGTGGCTGAAACCAGCCTGTGCTGTTATTTTAGCTTGTTTCTAGGTTTGTATCAATGACAGAGTGTCTCTTCTGTGTTTGGAGAATTCAGACACTGAGTTAACAGTGAGCTGAATCACAGTAATTTACTGCGCCTGTGTTTTCACTCTGTTGCAACTGGGAAAGCTTTGCAGAGATTTAAACTAATTTATTCCCCTTGCCCTGCTTGCCTTGGGCTTAGGAGACAGCATTGTTAACCATGGCTCAGCTGACAGCATTGCATTGTGTCAAAGCTTAAATAAACTTTGCTGAAAATCAGAGTTAAAAGAGTGTAAAGGGCCATTATTATCCAAACTTGGAAAAAGAAAAGAAAACCCCTCATCTGCTCCTCTTCCTCATTGACCACCCAGCCACCTCATAGTCCTTCATTACTCCCTTCTTGCCTGGACTATGGGAATTTATCAGCCCCTCAGACCCTCCTCCTTGTCCCTAACCCATCCCCAAATCCTGACAATATCTTCATCCTCATAACCAGCTGCTGACCTCTCTCCTCCTCACCCACACATTCTTTATTCCTTCCCTTCTCCAACCCACCCCAAATCCATCTACATCTGCCAACAGTTCTTGTCTTGGCTGCTCTCTCCAAACATCCTGCTCAAAGTCCTGGCATTTTTGCTGTGTGGCAATCTCATTTTTGCCTAAATTTGAGACTCTTCACCTCTCCTCTTCCTGGCACACTCTTCCACTGATGTGTGGTGGCTTTCCTTTGCCTGGTCTTCCTCTGCCTGCTCTGGCAGGGCATCAAATAACAACCACAGAAAACATCCAAACAGGCCTTGAAAGTAAGAAAAATTGGGGACTTAAAGGGGGAATGCAGCCATGTCTCTACTTAATTACAAAGACTCCAAGATCTCTTTGGTTAGATGACTGAAATTCAAGACCCAGTCCAAATTTTTATTGTAGTTTGCTTTGTAAAGGTGCAGTATTAAACTCTGGCACTCTGACTCCAGATTTCCTCCTCTGCTGTGCAGTTTCTGGTTTCATTGTTGGGTCAGATCAAAGTTATCCCTGGAGACAGGGTGCCAACACCTTCTGCATTCTGAGCTGGGTTTGCTCTTCAGTTCCACCTCCAAATTCAGTGTTCAGAGCAGACATACATTGGTGTTCTTCATTTTCTGTTTAGTCCCTAGCACTGTATTTATGTCAGGGGTTCACAATATCTAATTTTTCTTGTCCATCTTTCACAACCACGTTTTTTGTGCCAAACTTTGAACATTAATATGGATTGTACCAACTCTTTGTGGTAGACCCAGGGCCAGCAGCTTTAACAAACCTGTGGGAATTGACGTTCAGGCACTTTGGAGGACACGTACCCTCACCTTCTTCTCCCAGAACCACACACCCAAATGTGTTCCCAGTACAAACACTGCTGAATCCAGACTGCAGATATTTTTTTTCCTTTGCTACATTTCTTATTTCCTGAGAATTGGTATCTCACAGAAAAAGCTCAAGCCCTTCCCAGCTCAGAGTTGTCAGTCCCCCAAGGCAGCTCCACAGCTCTAAAACTTGGCCATGTGGTGGTCAAAACCAGACCAGGATCACCACCCTGGGTCCCCTGGGTGAGAAAAGAGAGAAGGGGAGAGGAGATAAAAGGGAGGGTATGATAGTCCCTCCAATGGGTCTGCTTACAGAGCTCTTGGGTGCAATTGTTCATTCAAAACATTCTTTTTGCTGAAAATGCCTTTTTTTAAAAAAATCAAAACAAAAATCTGTGGGAAATGTCCAATTTCAACAACAATTTTAAGGTTTTCATTGAGGAAGAAAAAGCTTGAAAAATGTGCAGTTTTTTGGCAAAAGCAAGCTAAGGAGTTTGGCAAAAACTCAAACGAAAACCAAAAACCAGAAACCCCAAATTGTTTTGGTTTCTGGCCAAAATGTTTCCAGTTTTTGATTGCCAGAAACCAAACATTTTTCAGTTTTTGCTTCTTGAATGAAAACCCCTGAACTTCTGCAGAAAAATGTTAAGATAAGCTTTTGTTTTCACCGATAGTCTTTCATGGGAACACAAACAATTTCTGCTTTTTCCCTTTTTCCTCCGTAGATGGATGTGTGTGACTATGGGAGTGTGATGTTCCATTTCTGAGCTCCATTTGCCTGTCAACCCAAGCTGCAGCACTTTCTCTGCCTGGCTTTATTCCTCCAGCCCTGGATATCTGCCCATTTCTTGCTGTTCATGGGCAGGTTTGAGCATCCTCTGCAAAACACTTCAGGCCTTCAGCTTCCAGAGATATCAGGAGTATCTGAGGATTGCAAACACATTACAGGACTAGCTGGGCATTATGCAAGATCTGCCCCTCAAAAATCTACCTTCATCTTGGTGGGGAAGACTGAATTAGGCATTTTGGCTTCCTAATTGTGATTTTTGAGCCTTGCTTACCACCCACTGTGCCTGGGATTACACCTGTCTGAGTGTGCATGTTCTTCATTGCTGTGTTCCAGCTTGGATACACTCCCTTAAAAACAATTACTTCATGTGGTGGATCTAGTTAACACTCCTTCCAGCTCTGAGCTGCCTCTGACCCTGCAGATGCTAAGTGTTAGCAGTTGTGCTCTAGCGGCTGTAATTCTCATTACCTCAGTGTAGACAAGACCTGTTTGCACCTTAAAAGCTTTAAAATCTTTTAGGGGAATCCCTATGGAGGGTTTGATGATGGGGGTGGTTTTTTTCTTCCCAAAAATGCTGAGTGCCAGTATCTGCCAGTCCCTTCACTGGAGCTATGTGAGATGGGCACTTGTGGCAGCTCAGCCAACTTCTTGCCCTTTACCAGCCTGCTGAAGTCATTGCCAAATATAAAGCCAGGCCCTTGCGCGTTTTCTTCTTGGTTTCAGATGTGAAGGTGACCAGCTGTTGATTGAGTGTTGCAGAGATCTTTGGAGAACAGTGTGCACTCAGCTTGGAGATGAAGGGCTAAATTCAGACCATTTGTGCTCTTGGCATGCTGCTCCTCCTCATCGCTGTGTGTTTGCTTTAGAAGTCTGACTGGCTGACATGCCCCGGCCGCCAGCTAATGCGGATTAATTCTGACTCTCTTCAGGCTTCAAGGAAACAGATTGTGGAGGGGTTTTCATCACAAGGGGAATGAAAGAAGCTAGCAGAGTATCTTAACCCAAACCACGTCACCCATTGCTTTCAATCAGAAAGGAGGACAGATGAGATTAACCTCAAAACCCCCCCCGGCTTCCTTGCGGACACTGCAAACCACAGTACCAAGTAAGAGAGGAATGTGGGAAGAGGATGATTTTTTTTGTAGGAAACTGGACTTAGGACTGTAAGGAACTGGACTTAGTACACCAAGCCCATTCTACATTGGCCACAGAACAGTCATCAGAGGGTGTTGACTTTTGACCACTACTGTTTTTGTTAACAGGAAAAATAAAACCATATGTTGCCTAAGTAGATGCACAAAACTTTTCTCCAAATCCCCACAGACAAACTGTCAGCAGCAAAAGTATTTACTTTGGTAATGCAGCTGGGCTTAATCCCAGCCCCATTGTGTTTGTGCATGCCTTTTCACCACGGAGCTCAATAACATGCTGTTTGCGAAGAGGGTGAATGAATGCATGCAGTATGATTTCGGTTATTAGGCCTATCGGTTACAGCCCGAGACAAAAGGCTGGAGTCAACAATGGTAGCACTACATAGGCCCTGCTCATGCTTCGAGTTAGGCTAAATGGAAATCTCAGTCATCAGTCACGTCAACTAGCCATCAGCTTGAGGTAGGACAGCAGGACTTGGCCCGGTGGTGCGGATCCTCAGCTGGCTTAAATCAGCGTAAATCCAGTGTAGTCCAAGGAGCCACAGCTGAGGATTTTGGCGCCTACTGTCTATTTTTGAGTTTAGTGGTTGTTGAATGCTTAATTCTCTGGGCTGCAGGCTCCTGCAGCTGAGCCATGGATGCGCTCTCAGGCTGCTTCCTCCTGTTTGGGGGGTCACAAATGTCAGTGAGGTCCCTGCATGGCACCTTTGGGTGCACCAGCCCCGGGGCAATCCCAAGCACAAACACAGGCTGAATGGAGACTGGGTTGAGACCAGCCCTGGGGAGAAGGACTTGGGGGTGTTGGTGGTTTAGAAGCTCAGCATAGCCCCTGAAGAAGACTGTCAGTGTGCTCATGGAGCCCAAAAAGCCAGCTGTCTCCTGGGCTGCATCACAGGAAGGGTGACCAGGTCAGGGGAGGTGATTCTGCCCCTCTGCTCTGCTCTCATGAAGCCCCACCTGCAGTGCTGTGTCCAGCTCTTGGGCCCCCAACATGAGAAGGATCTGAACCTGCTGGAGAGAGTCCAGAGGAGGTCACAAAGGTGATCAGAGGACTGGAACACTTCTGCTATGGAGACAGGCTGAGAGAGCTGGGGGTGTCCTGCCTGGAGAAGAGAAGGCTGCACCTTCCAGTACCTAAAAAAGCTTCAAGAGATCTGGAGAGGGATTTTTCACAAGGGCATTGAATGATAGGACAAGGGAGAATGACTTCAAACTGACAGAGGGCAGGTTTAGGTTAGATATAAGGAAGAAACTCTTCACTCTTCAAGTGGTGATGCACTGACACAGGTTTCTCAGAGAAGCTGTGGCTGCCCCATCACTGGATGTTCTCAAGGCCAGGCTGGATGGGGCTCTGAACAACCTGGACTAGTGGAAGGTGCCCCGTCTGTGGCTGGGAGCTTGGATAGAGATGATCTTCAAGGTTCCCTTCTAACCCAAACCACGAGAGGATTTTATGACATGGTCTCATCAAAATTTGTGTGCAGTGTAACTCCGTGTTTGAGTACTGTGAACACTGAATGTTTTAAACAGGTGCTGGGGGACATCAAACCAGGCACCAAATCTGTTCTCTTGTGAGCAAACCTTTGCAATCAAGGGCAAGTCTTAAAGCAGCATGAAAATCTGTTTTGATGCCTTTTTCTTGTGCTGGAAGTGCTGCATGGAGATGAATTTGTAGCAAAGAGAGTTGTGCTTTAAGTCTGAGGAATGAGGAACCCTAACCATGGTTAGCATGGTTAGCATGGTTAGCAAATTATCTGTTCCCAAACACAAAATAAGTGAGGAAGAGGCCAAATTTCCTTTTGTAAGAAATACAAGGAGCTGCTTTTCTCAGGGTAAAGGCTCATAGATAAACCAGATGTTCCTAGCTAAAAGAAGATCTGGTTCTGCTGACACTTCCATAAACCTTTTTTCTAATATAATAAACTTGAGCAGGTTGCTGATAGATCTGTGCAACACAAATCATTCAGACCTGCAAAAAAACCCGTAACAAGACGGGTGATTTAAAATATCCTTTGTAGACCTGCACAACAAAGTAAAACACCTGATAAAACTTAGAGACAGTCCTAAAATACCCCTGTAAAATATGGGACACTTATGTTAAAGCTGTTTGGCACCATTTGCTTCACAAAAAAATATTACAGTGCCACCAATTATTTCCATAACACCATGATGGGATGAGAAGTTGACATATTTTGGGACAGGGGCAGAGAAAGGCAAGGAGAAATTAAACCAGAGAGAAAGCCCAGCACCTTGGACATTCTCTGGTAACACACACTTTCAGCAGCACAAAGGTATGAATCTATGGCTGTGTCAGAGTATTGCCATCAGTAATATAACCTGATTAAAGCACTGACACTGTGTGCTGTGAACTGCACGAAAGAGAAACCTTCTGTCCTGAAGAGCTGATGGGCACCAGGAGGCCAGGGCAGGGCTGGGAGGCTTTGCAGAAGGAACATTGAAGCTGAAGACAATGAGGCAACCATTAAAATGGAAAATGCTGGTATTTTTTCTGGTTTTCTGGGGAGTGGCAAAATGACTCTTTTGTGGAAGAATTTCAGCTTTCAGCAGAGAAAATGATCCTTTTGATATTTTTTTCCCCCAAAGGAGATTTCCTCTCCTTATTTTTTATTTAGGCTGCTGTTGCCACTGAACCTCAAGATTTTCTTCAAAATTTCCTGTGGGGCATGAGGCTGGGAATTAATTTAAATAATTATTTCTATATGTAAGCTCCAGACCTCTCCATGTTGCCGTCATCCTTCTTCTCCTCCTCATTCAGGGCTCAGTCCCCTATTCAAGATTGTCCTTGAGCTAAGCTGCTTGAAGGGACTCCCAGTGTTTCTTAGCCCCACACATTTTCCTCCTGTTACTTGGCAGTCTTCTGTCCTGCAGCCATGCCAAAACAGCTGCTCGTGGGTTGTGCTGCAAATGGGGTCTGTGCAATCTCTTTAAATCTCACTTATTTTGTTTCCCCCTACTTTAGTGCCAAATGTTTTCTTTCACTGACCTGCTTTACAGATGATTGAACAGGTCCTAAGGAGGAAAACATTCAGGGACCTCTTTAGCTGGCTTTGCCTCTGGAAAAATGTCACATGGAAGATGTTAGGGGAGCATTTTCTGGCCAGTGCCTCGTGTCATTGAAGCAATCAGCTCTTTGAGTTCAGTCGTGTGCAGAACAAGGTCTCCTCTGCTGATCTCAGTGCTGTGTCTTCCTATGCCAAATACCTCCAGGTAATGAAGGTCTGAGCAGCACATCCAGGGTGGGTATTGCTTGAGAAAGCACACGAGCATGAGTGCTCCCAGAATGGTCACGGGTTGTTGGTTAATGCCATTTTCAAGGCTTCCCATGCCTGTGCTTGGCCGCGGTGCCCAGAGCAGGCTGCTGCGGGAGAGAGGGTTGAACCACAGGAAAATTATAAGTGAGTTAAAACGCTTGTGGCCTCTTCAAGCCAGCTAGGATGCTATTTAAAGGACTGTATTATTCCCTGCTGCATCTTCTGGCCTGCACAGGGAGCTTTCATTAGCACGGCTGGCAGAGAAAGAGAGATAGCGCCTTGGAGAGCTCACGCGGCTTTCCACAACATCTCGGCTTGAAAGAGCCTTTGACTGTGCATCTTGCAAAATGTTTTCTCTGAGCTGTCAAAATACTCATCTGTCAAACCAGAGGAGTCTGGAATGTGTTATGTGTGCGTTGGTGCACCGCAACCAACAGAGCTGGAGCCGTGGGGAGGGGGCACACAGCAGGGGCTCCCTGAATCCCACTGAAGACACCGTGGTCCATGGGGGATGTACGAGGTCCTAGGAAGTACCTCAACCCTTCAAACCCAAGGGGGGTTCTCTCCAGGGGTCACAAATCTTTTGAACCCTCTTAGGTTTGCAAACAAGTGATGTTTTGCTACCCCATCCCTCAACAAGGACAGGTCTCCTGGTTTTCTTCTCTTCCACAAGGGGAGAGGCTCCCAGCCGTGGATGGGAGGGTGCACAGACAGGCACACAGGGTCATGTGTCACAGCACACAGTTACAGCCTCCGTGGGCTGAGCTGAGAACCCTCACAGGTGACAGAGCTTCCAGACCTGGTGTGGTCCTGTCTTGTCCCAGAAAAACTGGAGGCTCTCCTGCCTGCTGTGTCTGGGCTGTTGAGGAGCAGGGCATTGGCCATCAGTCAGCCTTGAAAACATGTGAGGTGGTGTTGTAATTTGGGATTCAGCTCTCAGGAGTCCTTTTTGTGTGTCTCATGCCCAGCCCTGAGGACATGAAGGCTGCTGAAGGAGGCAGTTCCAACATCCAATTTTTCCTAAGGAGAAGGAAAGCATACCATAGAGCAAACTCTGGTAGCACAGGGATGGAGAGGCAGGCAAGCTGCTTTTGGTGAACTCCTGGGCACGTCTCTGGAGCCTGTTGGAAGCTGTTTGGAGGCGCTTTATTTCGAGAAGAGATTTTGGTGTCGTGTTGTCAGAAAACATCAAGTGAGTCCTGATCATGGCCAGAGGGTGTCCTTCAGAGCACGTGGGATGTCTTGGTGGCTTGCTGGAGCTCTCCTGATGGTGCCAGGCTGACTCTGGGACAGTGCCAGGTGCCAGCTGTGTCCCCAGGGCAGCCCAGGGAGCAGGTTTCTCCCAAGCCCCTTGCTATCAGGGCATAGTGTTTCCATGAGTAAGCCTCGCTTGCAGGGGTGCATGTTTGCAGGATGAGGCCATGGAGCGAATTAGTGACTGAGCTCCTGCCCTGCTGCAGAGCTGACGAGGTACATGTGATGTGGAGCCGGGCAAAGGCACGCTCGAGAGCTTTTAATTTCACGCTTCCTGAGCAAGCACACTGTTCTCCGTGAAAACTGCGGGACTCTTGGTGGGTTTATTTCTGCATTAAATCTGGCTTTTCTTTAAAAGCAGAAAAGGCTGAAAATGGGGGTGATACAGAGATGGGGTGGATTTGCCCGTGGGCTGGGGCAAGTGGCATCTTTCTGGTTTGGACGATGTGGTGTGGTCCTGCCCTGTGGATGAGACATTGCACGTTCAAAAATGCACATTGCAAACATCTTGCTCAGTTTGAGCTGTGGCCTTTCCCTTCTAAGCACAGTGGATAACAAACGAGGTGTGAGTTAGGGGCATGCAAGGAGTCCCCAAGCAAAGTCAGAAAGGTTTAGGACCCCCAAACAGCAGGTCCCCATTCAGATCCTGATCGCAGTCTCATGTCATGTTAACATCACATAGCTGGAGCCGATGTGCTCCCAGAAGGACTAATTAGTTTTGATTTTGGATGATGCTGATGTGGCCAGACCATTTCCAGGTCTGAGGTCACCTCTGGGATCTGTGCACCACGTGCTTTGTGCTGCTGTGCTCCCAGGTGTGCACAGAAAGACAATGCTCCTCCACCTCGTGAAGTGCAAGGCAAGAAAGGCAGTAACAAATGTAGCAAAACTGGTTTGTAAATGATTTTTATTTTTTTCTTTTCCTCTAATTAGCTGACTGCCCAGCCCAATAACCCTAAACACCACCCTGGAAATACAAATCCTTACCAGATTTCTAGTCCTTACCTGGCTTCTAACTCTTTAAACGCGTTTTCACCCATCTAGCAGATAGCACATGGAAAACTTTGGGCTCATGGTCATACTCCCTGTACGGATGTGAGTGCAGTCCAAGCAAATAAATCCTGAGTGCAAGCATTCATACATGAAGAACTTCACACTCGGAAACATGACCACACTAAATTGCTGCCAGAGTTTTAAAGGCAGCTTTTGAAAATATTGGCCCTGCATCTTGTGTTTCTGCAGCGAATGGTTTGATTCATCAGGGAAACACCAGCTAACTGCTCATCAGGCTGCATCCTGGAGATGCAGTGAGCAGAGAGGCTGGGATGGAGACAGCTCTCTGCTTGTACATAAATACACCCTGGACTG